TGTTTTTTTTTTGTCTTTTTATCCTCATTCCAAATTTTCAGAAAAGAGGAAACCAACAATAAAACAGGAGAAAGTACTAAATTATTACTATATTACTATACTATATAGTAGTAAAATGCATGTGAACAGTAGCCTACTTTTTGATCAGTTCATCAGTAATATTCAGGAAATAATAGATATTGCCCTTCCACCCCCATCCCCGTTGGGCAAAGGGTCGAAATGATCACTTGTTTGTGCTTCGTGAACACTCGCGCCTTGCACGGCGGCACCATTGCGCTGCAAAGATGTACCGGGAGAAGCGCGATTATTAAACGACCGATCGTCATTTCCAAAAGGCAAAAATTCCCCTTCAGAGTCAGAATCGGCAAATAACATTTGCAACACATACTCACGGTACAACTTTTTATTAGCCATTTGGCAATTTTCTCTCACAATTTACTCGCACGCTATGAACTGAACTGCTTCCGTATCAATGACACAATAGCTCACTTGCTCTGCTATTTCCTCGAACACTTTGAAGAGGAACGTGACATAATTTTGGTCTAGAATCGAAGTACTACATGTCTGCCATCTAGTGGTAGGGAATACAAATGAGATATTACACCATATTAGGAACTACAGTCTATTTTATTAAGTATGACATCTTGTCGCAATTTTGCAACTTTGGCGCTTAGAGGGTTAATTAAAAAATATATGAGAATACTAGGGAATAGCAATATGGTGGTACGGTGGCTTCACTTTTATGACACCATGAGCAAGTTATAATAATGTATTACTTCAGTCATGTGGACTTAACAAACACGCACCCGGCGTCCATAAAGTCATCAAGACATATCAGATTGTCTCTAATATATTGCTTTAAATCAAACAACTTGTTTTCATAATCCTCAGAAGTCAAACTCAGTCGAAAATAAAATTAGATTAATCTCACAGCCCTAAAGTACGAGAGAGATCTGGTTTCTGGATTGCAAAATAACAAAAAAAGTGTCATTGATGAATGTCTTAATATTATCGCATGTAGAAATGGTTGGCAAGATACAGTTAGCTTGATAATATTGTTGTAAGTGTATTTCCTTAATTTCCCCAGCACCAAAAGCAGAACAGTTAACATTAGAGCTTCTCCATACTATTTAGCCCCAGAGCTCATTTAATACCGGGTTCAGATATTCATTCCTACTTACAAGAGAAGCACAGAAGAATCAGTTACAAAAATACATGACAGTATATCTTGCATCTGTGTTTTCTAAATACATCTTAAGTGGAAGAATAACTCAGTCAATTTAAAAACAACAATGAAGGACAAATTAAAATTAAATCTTAGTCTCTCTTAAAAGTGTTGAACAAGAACAGTTTGTAAAAAGCATCTATTTTCCTTCATGAAAGTGTAAGCAAACTACAAGTGACACATATGCATTATAAGACAATTGAACATAATATGAAACTCATAAGCAAACACAATGATATCATTTATATCATGAAGCAAAATGATACACAAGAATAAAACTTTTTTACATTGTTCTTTGGGGAGAAACTCCGTCTTTGAGTTGATTTGAATCTCAGTTGAATCTTCTGGTTTTGAAGATGAAGATGAACTTTATTCACTGTGAAAACTTTAGATAACATTTCTTTGTCTTGTCACTTGTTATGACTGGTTAGAACAGATTTATTCAGATAATATTATATTGCTTGATGCATTATTGTGTTGCATTTGTTGAGGATGCAGCATCAGATCTGAAAATGCTGGCTCTAAAGATGATCTACTTAGGGCTCATCCACTAGTAAAGTTAGTAAAGCTAATAGGCTTAGTAGCTTCTGCAGCACGAACACAAGCATGTACACCGCCTTTGTTATTGTTGTTGCTGTTACGTAACGTAGCGGTGTCTGACTGGGGTAAAGACGTGGGGTGATGACTTCATTGTTTCACAAAATATACGGATTGGCTGTACACACAAAACACAAAGCTGTCGTTTTCAGATTTATCCACTCTTGAGTCCCGGTTTCAAAAACTAGTGTTTTCAGGCTCCCAGCACCTGGACGAAACGCCAATACGATACAAAAATTTTTTGTATACAGCTAAATGCATCTGCGTGTGTATGGGGCCTTACTGTGATTGTTTTTTGTATGTCTGTGTGCCTTACTGTGATTGTTTTTTGTATGTCTGTGTAGAGCAGATGAATCAAAAATGTTTTGCTGCACTGATCACATGTGTGTGGTTTCTCTCCAGTGTGGATCCTCTCATGTGTTTTCAGATTTGAAGACTGACTGAATCTCTTGTCACAGTGTGAACACATAAGGTTTAAGGTTTGCTGATTGTGTGAAACTCTTCCCGCACTGATCACAAGTGAATGGTTTTTCTCCAGAATGAACTCTCATGTGAACATCAAGATTGTATTTGCATTTTAAACTCTTTCCACATAGATTACATGTGTACAGTTAGGACAGATTTATCCAGATTATATATTTTTTAGCTTGCCCGCATTATTATCTGGCATTTGGTGAGATCGCAGCATCAGACCTGAAAGTGCTGGATCTGAAGATGATCTACTTACTGTGATTGTTTTTTGTATGACTGTGTAGAGCAGATGAGTGATTGAAACGCTTCCCACATGCAGTGCAGTGATATGGTTACTCTCCAGTGTGGATCCTCTCGTGTCTTTTTAGATTTGATGAATGACTGAATCTCTTGTCACAGTGTGAACACTTGTAAGGTTTCTCTCCAGTGTGGATCCTCTCATGTTTTTTCAGATTTGCTGACCGACTGAATCTCTTGTCACAGTGTGAACACTTGTAAGGTTTCTCTCCAGTGTGAATCCTCTCATGTGTTTTCAGATGTGTTGATTGACTGAATCTCTTGTCACAGTGTGAACACTTATAAGGTTTCACTCCAATATGGATCCTCTCATGTGTTTTCAGGTCTCCTGACCTATTGAATCTCTTGTCACAGTGTGAACACTTATAAGGTTTCTCTCCAGTGTGGATATTATTGTGTCTTTTCAGATGTACTGACTGACTGAATCTCTTGTCACAGAGTGAACACTTATAAGGTTTCACTCCAGTGTGGATCCTCTCATGTCTTTTTAGGTCTCCTGAATCACTGAATCTCTTGTTGCAATGTGGACACCTATAAGGTTTTTCTCCAGTGTGAATCCTCTCATGCAGTTTTAAACAGGTTGCTGAAGTAAAAGTCTTTTCACACTCAAAGCACATGCACTCTGTCACAGCAGGATGCATTTTCTGACGTACTTTCAAATTTTGTAGATGCAAAAAACTGTTACCACACAAATAACATGAATGTGGCTTCTCCTTTGAATGAACTTTGAGGTGTTTCTTCAGAACTGAAGCCCGTAAAAATATTTTACCACACTGATCACATGCGTGCTGGTTCTCTCTAGTGTGGATGTTCATGTGATCATAAAGGTGTGCTGATTGTGAGAAACTCTTGCCACACTGATCACAAGTGAACGGTTTCTCTCCAGTATGAACTCTCATGTGACGCTTAAGATTTGTTTTGCGTGTTAAACTCTTTCCACACTGAGTGCAGGTGAAAGATTTCTTGGCTCTTCTTTTCTTTAAATCTTTCTGTTTGGTTTGAGTGCAACTCATAGGTTTTTCTCCTGTTTTGACATGATTTTTCTCCTCAACTTCACTTGATTCTTCATTCTTCTCTTTTTCTTCAATCAATTCTGAAATAAAAGTAAAAATGGTGAAATGTGAACATAAAAGTGAACCCTGATGTAACAGTGCAGGGCTCCAGACTAACATTTGAGAGCAGCGCCACTAACTTTTACAGATGGTGGCACCAGAAGCAGATTTGGTAGCGCTCAGGGCCTGGTGTGTGGGGTATCAAAAATAAAGATAATTTAATTATAAAATTACTATGGCTTTGCATTAATAAGTGCAGTTATTAATAATATTAAATGTTTATTTCTTGGTAATACACATTTGACAGTAAATAACTGAGCTTGATTTGTGAAGCATTCAAAATTTACTTTTAATAACATCAGTAATGTGCAAAATCTAATTTTCTATAGAAAATGTATATATTCTACTCTTACTAAATGTACCATTGTTCTTCTATAGTATTATATAGAACTGACCGACAGCTTCAGTGATTATAATTGATGATTCAGTCGCAAAGGGAAGAAAAGTTTGGTGATTTGTGATTTTTTTTACTACATACACAAAAATAGTGCAAAACTTTGACAAAATTTGATTTCTTGATGATCTGAAGTTTTATAATAGTTATTTCATCATTTCAAAATATAAAGCAAGTAGAAATGAATGACTAATAAGCCAATAAGTGCTACTCTGCTGCCATCTACAGGTTATAGTGGTAATGTAATGTATTTTTAAATTTTACATAAGTGTTTATTTACAACAAATCTATATTTTGATATACATTGTGTTTTGTCACATTAAAAAACATTTAAACTGGATCATTTTTAGAGCTTTAAAGTGCTGGAAATAGTTGTGTGGAATACTTGAAAGTCATTGAAAAGTGCTTGGAATTCTCTCTCAAGAGGTTGTACAAACCCGGAAATTAATGATGTAATAACATTGTACTATTTCTGCCACAACACCATGGTTATAGTTAGTGTTACTGCTTCTGGGTTTCTGCATCAGCGCTGTTTGATCGGTTCATAACAGAATTCTGTGCAGAATTGGAATGCTTCTCACTAGATCTCACAGAAACCTTATTCATTCTGTGGCGAGTTCAAACGCTTCCAGTAGTGAAAAGAGTACTAAGAAATTGTACTTAAGTAAAAGTATTGCTACTTAAGGTATAATTTACTTCAGCACAAGTAAAAGTACTGAAAAATAATATGACTCAAGTAAGAGTAAAAAAGTAGTTTGCTGAAAAACTATTGAAGTTACTGCGTTACAAAGTACTTTAGTATTATTTTTCTATTTTTACCCAAAATTAGATGATGTGAGCATTATGGAGCAAAATCTAGCTCTAATCTTAACACTCATGTACTTTAATGTCTGTTTCACAAGTGAGACCCAGGAAATCCTTTATATAGACAAATGCATCAGATATCATTACAGCTGAATAACATGCAGATAGAGACACTTTGGCTGATGAAACGTGGACGACAATAAACACAAAATTGCAATCCATTGTTAATTGACAGCTTGTATCACAGTATAGAATTTTATTTAAAAAAAATTTCTGTCTCACTGTGATAAGAAGCAACATGGAACCACAGAAGCTAACTGTTTCAAACACGTCTGATGTTATATAGTGATTTTGGAGCAAAACATGATATTATAAGTTGCATGTTTGACGCTATATTAAGCAAACATATGACCTATCCCTGTTGCCAGGAGCAACTGTTTTATAACTAATTTTGAAAAGTACATTCATGTATAAAATGATGTGGTTGTTTTTAAGAAGGGCAAAATCAAAGAAGAGTAAGTGAAGGTTTAAAAGAAAAGAAAGGGTCTTAAACAGTGTGAATGGAAAGGTGCCAGTAAAAAAACGTAAGGTTAGGCATCATTTTAATTTTAATGATTCCAATTCATGTCAATTCCTAATTTCGATTCCAATAAGGTAAAAATAAATAAAATTAATAAATAAAAAATCTTAGATATCTTATTGCAAAATATTTAATAGTTAGCTGAATACTATGAATGAAAATCAACAGGCTAAAGAACACTTACACAAGGATGTGTGTCCAGCAGAGAAAATAGCCCGTGAATCTTCTTGACTTGAATGGTTAAAAATCTCATTGAAAGTGTAGTTTGTTATAATAACAAAGGTGGATTCCAGGCACATTTTCGGTAGGAAAGAAATCATCATTTTTGATTTCAAAAATCAAGAGCATTTTATTTAACATGTTAACCCATACCTTGGCTTGGGAATCCAAAATCTATTCCAGGGCTCCAGACTGTGATAAAATGCTTGCATTTTGCGACCAGTTTTTGAGACAGCACGAGTATTATTTAAAAGTACTCGCGCATGTGCGACCTGCAAATTTGGAAATTATTTAAATTATTTCATGTTGAAAGAAGTGAAGATCGCGAGCCCAACAGTGTAGGCCTATGTATACAGTAGTCAACATTTGAAGTGGATCAAAAAAGTTAATCAAAGTTGTCCTAAGGCAAGAATGAGTATTGTTTTGGTTTTAGGACAACTTTGATGAAAGGTTTTGATCCACTTCAAATGTTGACTTCTGTAGAGAGGGGGAGGGTCCGGAAGTGATTAGTCAACTGCGCGGGTCACGCGTCAGATGTTTCTCGCTGTCGTCGCGTCTACCGTCACAACTCAGTCAAAAATGGCAAAACGAACAATTGACGCCTTTTTCTCAGCAAAGCCAGGCCAGCTACAACAATTTGCCGAGAAGGAAAAATCAGGTGACGAGTCGCCCGCTGTGGTGAAAAAGCCAAGACAACAATTATTCCGTCAGGAATGGCTTGAGTGAGTTTACGTGGCTTCGATATTGCAAAACCACCTACACAATCTTCTGCAAACTTCTGCTCTCGATGTAGTCAACATTCAGAGAAAACACTAATTCGCTGAGGCAACCGGCACCACACAGTTCAAACACGACACATTAGTGAAACACAACATCAGCTTAAAACATAAAATGTGCCAAGACAGATCCGTGAATACAACTGAATTGCCACTTCCAACTGCATTTCGCAGACAAGAAGTTAACATTGAGTCAGCAGACGAGGCTGAAATGATTGGAAAATTTAACACCGCGCATTTCATTGCTAAAGAGGAACTACCATTCACCAAATTCAAGAGTCAAGTTGAATTATTAAAAAAGAACGGCGTAAAATTGAACCCTACATACAGCAAGGACACAGCCTGTGCGCAGTTCATTGGCGCTATTGCAGATTCACTCAAACAGAAGACTCACGAGAAGATAAAGGACGCCACTTATCTAATTCATGATTGATGGTGACAGATGTTTCAACTAAAGAATGTGAAATAGTGTACGCAAGGATCCTGCAACAAGGGAAACCAACGAATATTTTGATTGGCCATGTGGAAGTCCAGCATGCAAATGCACAAGGTATGTTAATTACTGTACCTTAATTTGACTTCAGTTTAGTGCTTACTCAGAACACAGCAGTTAGAAATATATGCCAGGAATGATTGAAAAAGTGAAACAGTTTCTATGCTCTTAACCTTTTTAAGCCAAAAAATATTATTTGTAGGTGCCACAGTGATTTAACTGTTCAGTGTGATGACGGGGAAATTAGGGTTGCGACAAAAAATCGTTGAATCGCGAATCAAGAAATGATTCTGAGACTTCCCGAATACATCGCGATTCTCTCTCGAATCGATCCTCAGCTTAGTTTTCAACAGCAGATGGCACTGCGTGCTTTAGAAACAGCCATACTCTGCTTGCTTCCAATTCCTTACACACACCACTTGAACCTTCTATAAAATAATCATTCATAAAATTCGAAAAGGTTGAAGTGAATTACAAGGGTGTTTGCAATGGGCTGTTTACATTAATCTCGCGTCATAAAAGAATTCTGAGGTGCAAGTACATTGCCGAACACACGAGCGCTCTCTTATTCAAGTGCATTTGAGCGTGTGGTTAAAAACTAGCCTAGAGCGCCATCTGCTGTTAAAAACTAAGCTTAGAATCGATTCAAGAGAGAATCGCGATACATAAGGAAATCAGAATCAATCCACGAATCGAGATGAATCGATTTATTGTCCCAGCCCTTTGTGGTTTTGGTAAATATTGAATATCATTCCAGAATAAAATTTAATTGAACAACAATTACAGAAAACATATCATTTATTTTAAGGAGTCTATAATGGCACCAAAGACGCCTTTCATCAACTAGGGACAGAAACAGGGTGGTTCGAGAAGACAGTTGCCATGGGAGCTGATGGCGCTGCAGTCAATCTTGGACATAAGGGAGGTGTAATAGCCCTCCTCCAAGCTGAGGCAAGGGATTTTATTGTCCCATTCCATTGCTTGCCACATAGGTAGGTTATGTAGACAATCAGGCTAAAGTTAGGGGTAGTAACCAATGTATGTGTGTATGTATGTATGTATGTAATGTATACACTTTAATTGTAGACTGGAGCTGGCAATGCTGTCCGTGCAAAGAAAAATCCCCATGGTGGACCAAGTCTACAATCTCCTTAACATGGTGTGGAAGACATACCACTACAGTGCCAAGTCTATGAGAGATCTCAGAGCCCTTGGAGAAGACCTGGGTGTGCGTGTCAACGTCCCAGGTGGTGTCAGGGGGACACACTGGCTCCCACCTGTAACCTGGGCCTTGCATACCTTACTGAGATCTGGAGGAAAGGACCGGAACCTGCCGAGCTCAGGGAAGTTCACAGCAGTTTACTTCCACATGGAACATTTGACCGCATCATCAAGCAATGCAGATATTGCTGGAAGAGCAAGGAAAGTCTGTATTTAATTTTTATATCATTTAATATTTTGTATCCAAAAAAATTACTTATATATTGGTTCTGTCCTGCAGATCAAGAAGATGATGGAAGATTGAATCTTTAGCCCCTTTTCCAGTGCCGGAACTTTCCCCAGGAAGTAGGGACTTTGGGCCGGTACTGGGTGTGTTTCCACCGCAGGAACCAGGATCTAAATAAAGTTCTGGGTAAAAAAAAATTCCCCTCAGAAAGTCCCTGCTCGCGAGGTAGTACTTTTTCAAAGGTCTGAAACTTTCGGGGACGGG